CTTGCCTGTTTCACAAAGAGCTTCATCAGAATTGTCTTTGCAGTTATTCCACCCATTGCAGACTAAATCTATCGCAATTACTTTGTCGCCACTTGAACACATAAAATACAGATTGCTTGGAACCAGCGAGGAGTTCATGATTCCTATTGTGAAAAAAGAGGAGTGCATCAGGTAAAATCTACGAACTTAACAATCTTAATAAAATTKAAGAAACACGAAAAGCAAAGCAAAAAATCGTGCACTCTGACATGATTATGTAATCATTTATGATGCGCATGTGTGTACGAAAGGTGTGTGTGTGTTTAACTCGTTATTGTGAAATGGTGTCAGAAGTAAACAAGTCAGCCAATAACTCAGGATGGCATTGAGTGGAATTGAAGCGCCGTCGATGAAATGGAACGGTGACATCTTACGCGAAGAATGGCGACGTTTCAAGCAACACGTCGAACTAATGTTTTCTGGWCCACTCAAGTCTCGCAGCGAGCCTGAAAAGTGTAGATATCTCCTAATCWGGGTCGATCAGAAAGGCCGAGACGTCTATAGTACATGGTCAAATTTATCCGAAGACGACAAAGGTAAGCTGAAAACATACGTATTATGAGCGCTTCGARCAACACGTAAACCCAAGATCCAATATAGTACTTGCAAGATACAAGTTCCATAAGCAAGTACAAAGCCATAATGAACCCGTAGAACAATTCGTAACTGATACAAAGCCATAATGAACCCGTAGAAMAATTTGTAACTGACCTAAAAAAGCTAGCTCAAGACTTCGAGTTCAAAGAAATTGACGAGATGATCCGTGACAGAATTGTTATTGGTACCTGTACTGAGAAGATAAGAGAAAAGCTGTTTGATGAAGGCACATCTCTCACCCTCGAGAAAGCAATAAAACATCGCCAGGTCATACGGAGCGTCACAGAAAGAATTGAAAGCAATGGCGAGAAGAAAATTAGAGAAGAAAATGTTCATTTTATTAAGAAATCTAATCATCACAGACAACATGGCATGGTGCTAAATAAAGATGCMCTGCTAGGGGATAAACATGTAACTACTGTAAAAACAAGGTCATTTCATACAAATGCGCAGAAATAGAGCAAACCGTCAAGTTCAAAACTTACAAACATCAAGCGAATCCACCAACAAGTCCAACGAGCTTCGAGTCAATCCACTTCGAAACAGTCCAAATTGGACCCGTAGAACAGACAAGTACTCATGACAACAACGAAGTCTATGCGACGCTAGACATCGAAGTAAACCATAAAAACAACGCCGGGAAGCCCCTAACATGCACTCAAAGTTAAGATCGACACAGGAGCCCAAGGAAATGTCCTGCCGCTACGGATCTACAGACAAATGTTTCTAGACAACATTGATATCTATGGAGCGCCGAGAAGTGAAGCACTGKAGCCATCAACAAACATTCTCGTACAGTATGGTGGTACCAAAATCAAAAACCTAGTTACCTTGCTACATTCAACTCACCTTACGGAAGGTACCGTTTCAAGCGGATGCCTTTTGGGCTGAAAATGTCTCAAGATGATTTCCAAACGAGAATTGATCAAACATTTGAAGGGTGTAAAGGTGTGATTGGAATTGCAGACGACATCGTAATCTTCGGTATATGACGAGGAAGATCACGATTCCAACATGCATGGCATGCTGAAAAGATGKAAAGAAGCAGGAGTAAAGCTCAATCCGGATAAATGCTTTATCAAGAAAGACAGCATCAGGTTCTATGGAATCATCTGTGGTCCATACGAAATCAAGCCAGTCCCCGACAAGAAGCGTCTGCACTCAAGCAAATGAATCCGCCAACAAACAAACAAGAACTTCAAACGTTCTTAGGAATGGCAGACTACATGCCACCGTTTATTCCCAGCCTTAGTACTTTAACCGCCCCACTGCGTGAACTAAATAAAGAAAACGAGTGTCTTCAAATGGAGTGCAACATACCAAGACGCCTTAGACAAAGTTAAGGAATCAATAAGTAAAGAAGTCACCTTGACCTACTTTGATCCCAACAAGGAAACGATCCTACAAGCCGACGCATCCAATAAAGGAGCAACTTTACTACAAGAAGGAAAGCCGATCACGTTCGCAAGCAAAGCACTTAGCGACACAGAGTCACGATACGCGAAAATCGAGCGAGAACTGTTAGCTGTGGTTCATGGATGCGAAAGATTTCACATCTACCTCTATGGACAACCGTTCAAAGTCCACTCAGACCATAAGGCCCAGGAGAAGATAAATCTTAAACACTGAATGCCAGCGGTTGTACGCTCAGACAACGGTCCTCACTACGACAGTTACGCATTCAAAGAGTTTGCAGAACAATACGGATTCCAACACATCACAAGTTCTCCACACTACGCACCTAGCAAGTCAAGACCTATCGAAGCAAGTCAAGACCGTAAAAAAGACCTTACAAAAGCACAATCAACTAAGGCAGATCCACACATTGC